CTGCTCCCCCACGCCCCACCTGCATGCTCTCTATCTCTTAAAAAAGAAAGAAAGAAATCTTCCCCTTTATTAGTAGTAATTGTTAATGTTTATTGAATGTTTCCTGTGTGTCAAATATTTCTCCAAGTGCTTTACATATATTAACTTATTTCATCCTCACAGCTACCCTATTTGGTTAAGTACTATTGTCAATCTCATCTTACAGATGGGGAAACTGAGACACAGGGAGGTTTAGTAACTTTCCCAAGATCACATGCTCAGTAAGCAGCATAGACAGGATTCAAATCCAAGCAGTTCAGCACCAGAACCTGCGCACTTAACAATTTGTTTGTTGGTCGGGAGCCCTGACTTGTACAGCTATTGGAAGGGAGGAGGGAGGAAGGGGCCTGGAGGAGCTGAGTAACCCCTGGAAGCTTCTGGAATGAATATGTTTCGGAACCATTCACCTTGCCGCTAAAGAGGCGTGGATACAGGCCACCTGTGTTTTATAAAGGATTACCAGGCGGGAGACCTGTGGTGGCTTTCCTTCATGCCATTACAATAAAGGACATGGATGAGACTGCAGAGGCATCTTGATTTGAGAAAAGCACTTGATTGGATCTCATTAAATTTTAATCATAAGCTGAATTCAAAATAAATTGAAAACTGGTTGACAGAGCACAAACAAAGGGTGATGATAAATGGTGATGCATCTAGAGAGGGGCTATCTTCCAGGGGACGCCTCTGAGGCAAGGACGGATGGGATTTAATGAAGGTGTTATGTCCCTGGAAGGAGACAAATAGCATAGCAAGAAACAGAGGAAGGGCAGAAGTGAGCAGCCTAAGTAATTAATAAACCACATTACCAGCTCTTGAATAATCAAGGCTTGCTGTTCACCAACTGCTTGGATTTTTTTAAAAAGAATTCTTTGGGTCAACAACAGGGTGGAAGAGTCCTAGAGACACACAACATGAATATTTCAGGTGGACATAATAAATACATATATAAACTTACAGTTAGAAAGATCCTGAGATCCAATTTGGATCAGATAGTTTCAATTACAGATTCTCAAGCTCTTAACTTCATTCCTCAGGGAGTAATTTAAAAAAAAATAAATTAAAAGTCTAAAAGTCACATATTAAAAAAATCTTTAGACTCATTAATGTTCTTTGTTTACTGCCCAAATGCATGCAAACTTTCACAATGTCAGTTTGCTCAGTGGAAGCTGGTTTTGAGTGTACTGTTTGGCTCCAGTTCAAATTCCAGTGAACAAATACTTCCAAGTTTACTTGCAGAATTTCCCAGACAGAGAAGTTCTTCCATTTGGTTTGCCAGAGGATTGGAAGTAGTGGTGAGCCCGGGAGACAAGGGAGCATTTACTGGCCCTTTTTCATCCCCTGCACAGTGCAACTCACATCAGGCTGAAGGCAGCACAGCATGACCTGACCTAATTTGAAGTTCGCTCTGGAACTCCTCCGGGCCGCCAAGCAAGGAGACCACGGACTAATGGGAACGGACTGATTCTGCTCTGGAGTGAGCTGGGAATAAATATTTGGAGAATAACCTCAAACCAGCCCAGGTTTTTGTTCGTTTTGTTTCAGATAAGATTTCTCTAAGCACGTATCTGTGATTCTTAATTTCAGTCCAAGCCCCGGAGTGAAGGAGAAGGGGCAGAAAGCAAAAATCAGGAGAGAAAGAAAAAGGGCTATTAAGTAAGAAAGGAGAATAGAAGAGGAGAGACAACAAGGAAAGTGGGGAAACCTTGAAGGACATCTTTAAAAATGTGCCCTTTATTGGTGTAGGACACAGATTTATTTAAATTGTGATTTTTATGTATTACTGGGTATGAGAAGGGGCAGCCGGAAGGGAAGGGAAACAATGAATACAGGTGAAAGGTAAGCGTGTTATAGGTCAGCTGCTAAGCCAGGAAGAGCCTAGGCAGCACAGAGGAGGAAGACATCAGAGACCGGAGGGAGGCCCAGTGACCCTGGGAGGGGAAGGAAAAACACTGGAACCCCCCAGAGCAGGAAAACAATGAGGCAGAGAAGGGCCAAGTTTCCCTCATCGCTGAGGGACCTGCCAAGACCCCAGTGGTCTTCAGGGTGGAAGGAAGGGGGACACACGGGCTGGGGGAGGCCCCGGCAGTTCCATCACCCCCAAATGGCTCCATTTTAGCTGACTCATCAGGGAACCAAGCCAAACGGGCACAGCTCTACGGTATCACCTGGTAGACGAAAAGACCCCCCCGCAACCTCAGCCACTTTACAACTCGCAGCCCCCCCATGGTGTCTATACACGCGCGTACGCACGCGCCCACACACGCACGCGCAGAGCGACGCTCGCTGCCAGGCCCTGAAGCGCACGTGGGCCAGTAGAGGCCTGCTGGTGAGGGGATGCAAAGAATGTCGGGGGGAGAAGGGACAGCTGGGGTTTCATGAACTAAAAATATCTTGGTGACAAGGCACTGAGAAGAAACCGGAGAGGCCCAGGGGGAGAGCTTCTTGATTCCAGTCCTCAAGATGCTTTCTCACGGAAGGACGGCAAGATTGTTTTGATAAGGAAATGTGATCAAACATTTGGGGTCATCTCATTGGATCTGAAAGGAATTTAAAGTTTAATGTGCTTCATCTGTGCCCCTTCCCCCCCCCCCCGCCCCCCAAACAGTTGCCCGCAATTCTTACATGTTTTTAACGGGCTAATCTAAAATTGCCTGCCGTAGAAAAATGGTTGAATTCGGGGTATTTGAGCTTTCGATTCTGTGCCATGTAAAACAGATTTCATTTAGACAAATTGCCCACATAATCTGTCTTTCTGAAAGCCTGTTAAAGAATGCCTGCAAAGATGACTGCCTTCTCCTCCTGTTTTCAGAGCCATTTGAAAGTCACTAACTCTTTAGTCCTGGGAGAAGCAGGCTTAAACGTTTTCTGTCTTTGCACCGTCCAAAAGTGAGTATCCCCGAGTTAGGAGTCTTATCCCCGACCTGCTGGTTCATTGCCCTGACTTCACTCCTAGTCAGCCCACCCCACAGAGCGAGCAGAGCAGTCACGGCTCCATTTCGTGACCTCCATCATGAAATGACCTGGAGCTGCAACACCAGATGAAGAATGACTGTGGGTGGTCTTTCTGGGTAAAAGCTAGGCTGGCAGCCCGGAGCCTTGTTTCAGATAATGGTGCTTCGTTATTTGAAAATAGAATGGGTAACTCATCACAGTTGAAACATCTTGAAATTTCTGTCCTCACATCCGGGGGTGGGGGCGGGGGGGGGGGGAAGGAGGGGAGAGAAAGCCATCTAAGAATGTGACAATGACTATACCAGGGCCTTTCCACAGAAACAGTTTAGCAATACTTAAAGCCCTGAGTCAGCCCATCCCAGTCAGCCAGGGCCTGTTGGAGCTGTACTGGCAAAAAATAATTGCCCCAAAGAAATAATAATAACAATAATAATAATAATAAAGTAGTGGTTTGGAAAAGGTTAAGGATTCTGTGTCTGCCATCTAAAGTGTCCAATCACAGCCATCACCCTTACATGGTATCAGGATGTGCTGCCCGGCTTCCTTTCACTTCCCATTGAAGCGCCCCCTCCTCCCCTCACACAGTGATTGGTCTAGCCCAGGAGTGGTTTTCAGCTCCAGCCAAGTCAGTAAGGCAACCTTCCAGAGCCAGGCTGGTCTGCCAGTTCTCTTGTCTGGCCTGCTTTGACTTTGTGGGCAAGTTCACAGGACAGTTCTTCCTGGGGAACCCAAATGGGACATGAACTAATTCAAGAAACCCCCTGTTTTATGTAGCAAGAGCCAATAAGAACGCCTAAATTCCGGGCAGCCCTCACACAGAGCCACGTGGCCTCCCAGCCACCCCCACTCTTTGGCCTTGAAAGCTGCTTTTTACCTTGTGCCTTGAGAGCAGATGAGTGAAACAGAAATCAAAGCAGCTTATATGTAAAGAGCTTGAGCACCTATGAAGCGTTTGATACTATACGGGGTGCTAGGGGGTAGAAAAGGATTAAGAAGCAAAATCTTTTTCCTCAAGGAACTGTCTAGTAGCAGGAGGTAAAATTAATATATTTGAAAAGGCAGTAAACAAAACAAATCTTCCAAGACCACCCAGTACGGCTTACCCTCTGGGACTCCCATTATTTTGTTAGAAGGGAATTTAGACAAAATCATGTTAGTTCATCTCCCACACACATTTTATTGATGAAGAAATCCAGGCCTAGGGAAACCAAAGTGAATTGCCTAAGTCACAGAGCCAGCAAGGAGTGGAGTGAGGACTTGAAACCAAGTTTCTTGTCCTCTTTTTTATTATTTATTTGGTCTTTTCCCCCCCCATCCATTAAAAAAAAAAAATTCCCCTATTCTAAGAGATCATCTTGAACTTAAAAGTCACATGCAGCTTGATTAGCTGCTGAGATCAAGTAATAGCGTTTCTCCCCCAGTTTTCATTGCCAGTAAATGTCCGGTCTGCTTGGGAGGGGCAGAGGGGTTGTAGGGGAGCCGCCAGGCACGGAGCGGAGCTGAACTTCCTGGCCCAAGAATGTGGGGTTGATCTTTTCCCTGCATGAGACAAGGATCAAGAAAACTGGGAGTTTTCCTTCCATCTTTGGGAAATTGACGTGTCCCGGGGCTGGAAGCCAATTACTTAATTTTTGCCATCCCGGGTTCCCTCCTTGGAGAAGTGGGGCTGGATTCTTCACCAAAACTTGTGGGGACACTATGTACTCAAACAAATGGTTCCCAGGCAGCTCCGAAAACAACACCCGTGTGCGCACTGTCCATTCCTCGAAGAGTTAATCTCACTCAGCTCGCCTGTCTGAAATGCTAAACCACCGGCACTTTCTGGCCGCCAGAAACTTTAAGTGTCATTTTCTCAGCCCAAGCGGGTGCACGCACAAATTAAAGGTGGGGGGTGGAAGGTGGGAGGAAAGGAAGGCAGAATGTTTCAGTAAAGGAGAAAACAGTGTTTGGGAAAACGGGTCAGCGGCTAAAAAGTAAGGCTAGGCAGGCGACAGCTCTGAACAACTTACCTTAGCACCACCAAGGACAGACAGACCGGCCGACAGGGTGGTCGTGCTCTCTCCTTCTCACACTGCACCTTGGGTGGCTCCCGCCTCCCTCCTCCCTCTCCAGGCCCAGGTAAGCCGTAGAACAGGCTCTGAAGCAGGAAGTGGAAGTTGTATGCAAATTTCTACGGAGGCTACGAAGCCTCCGCTGAAAAATCTCCCTGTGGGCAGTGAATCAACAGCCGAGAAGTCACTTTATTTCTTAAAACAGAAACCTCCTTCGTTCCGTAGAAAAGGCCACTGACTGGCCAATTAGGGTGCATTTTTTGTTTCCACCACCCAGCTAAGTAACTGTGGAGGAATGTCCACACTGCCCCAGATCTCGGGGCTACTGCAGTGCCCTAACCCTAGCTGGAGAAGGTGCCTGGGGAGGGGATTGAACTTGGGTGTTAAGATTGGTTATTCATTAGCAGCTCCAAAGGAGGAGATTGGGGGCAGATAGCGGGGTGGAATATGAGGCAAGAACTATATGTAGCTGCTTAAAACATCAGCATTTGTTGTCCTTCGCGGTGAGGGAGGACTCGCTGCCCATCCCATGTGAGCGTGCGCGCGCACACACACACACACACACACACACACACACACACACACACCCTGCCCATCAACAGGCATGAACAAAGTGACTCCTTTTAAGAAAACACACACACGCACACACGCACACTCCCATGCACATGCACATACGTACTGTTCTCCTCTGGCTGCATTTTTCATGACCTTAAGTTTATTTCTTCTCCTTCCTTCTGCTTGTTTAATCAGTAGCCTACAGAAGTTATGGTTGAAGGAGACACTGGCGACAGGATGACCAGGGCAGCAGAGTGGGATGGGAGCTGTGGCCGCCAGAGCTCTGGAGTCAGAGGGATGTGGGGGTGAACTCAGTGATGGCACTGGCCAGCTGGGCACCACAGCTAGATGCCTGGGCAGGCACATTGTGCTTCAGGGGCTGGCCTTGCCTACCCGTTGAGAGGCCCAAGGGTCAGTCCGTGCAGCTAGCCATCTCTCCACCTTTGTGCAGGGGACGGACCCTGGAGCATCCCCCTCCAGGCTGCCAGGTTCTGCTCAAGTAGTTCCCATGAAGTGGGTTGCTCTGCATTCTGCAAGCAGAGGAAACACGGATTGTTTTTAAAATAACATACACAGGTTGTATATGTTTTGGTATATCCTTACAATGGAATACTATGCAGCTGTGAAAACTCATAAATATGTGTGTATGTATTTCTACATTCTAACATGGAAAAGTAAGTGGCTGTGGGATATTATTAATTGAGATATATGATCTCATTTTTGTGAATATATATGCCAGATAAACACATATACATACACATATAGATTCATGTTTGTTCACTGCTGGTTGGCACCTGACACACTGCCCAGAACATAGTAGGCAATCATTCTCTATCTGTCAAATGAAGAAATCATAAACGTCTGGAAAAATGCATGCAAACTGTTAAGTGGTTGTCATCTCCAGGGGATGAGATTGAGGGGAACAAGCGAGAATGGAGGACTTTTACACTATTTACACATGTGGGCTGTTTGAGTCTTTTCTCCACAAGCATATTTTTTAAAAAAATAGTATTTAGTACCTTGGCCTTGAACTTTCTGCCTCAAAATTATTATTATAATAATAATCTTTTTTAGTTTAGGGGAAAATAGTATTCTCTGTACAGCAGCTAGTCCCAGGATACTTGGAGAACAGAGAAGAAAAGAATGTCAAGGGGAGAAACAAGAAGGAGAGCCAAGAAAAGGGGCGGGGTGAAAATCGCTTTCATTTCTCTTCGATCCCTTATATGGCTTGGGAAAAGCCTGGAAGATGCTTCTGTCAAGTACTACCTTTGGAATACAACCCATCAGGAAGAACTGGGAGAATCTTCTTTTCCATTTCTCCTCCCAACTGTTTCCCCGGATGGGAGGCCTGAGGGCCCTGTAGGAAGATAACCAGGTGCTAAAGTGCTGCTTTTAATAGCTGTTAGCTGGGCCTTCCTCCTGTCTCCCTTTAATCTGAACAGAAGGGCAGGCACCTGGAGGAACAGGTTAATGGTTCCTACCTAGGGCCTTTGCTGGGGCCCTTATTGAAAGCAGCCTGAGGACATAAACTGTTTAGAGAGGGTATTCTGAACAGGAGAGAGTCTTGTCTGAATGTGCCACAGGCAGCTACAGGGAAATGTGGACGCAGGGGAAATGTCAGGGAGTCTGGGAAATGAGCACCTCTGTTCCCCAGGAGTCCCCACTGGTGTTTTCAGACTAACGCGTACACCCTTTTAGCTGCCATCATGGAGTACCTACCATACGCTACCTGTCAGCTCATTTAACCCTCCAGCAGTCCCGAGAAAGCCATTTACTGTCATTCCCACTTGGCTTTTGGGAATCCAAGGCTCAGAGACATTGAGTAACGTCTCCATGTTTACACAGCTAGTCTATGGAAAAGGATTCCAGAACTGTCTCACCTCCGGGGGGATGTTACTTCTTGTCCTTTCTTGTCATGTTGTGCTCTGTCCTTCCTACACGCTCGGGTGCACACAGATAACTTGCTTCCTTTGCATAACTCTTGACAGCACTCAAGAAGGAAAAAAGCTGTAGACAATAAAAGGGTGGCACTGAGACTGCCAGTCATAGGGTGCCGTGGGTGTGTACATGGTGCTGGCTGCTGTAGACATAATAGGTAGAGTAGCCAAGATGGGGGTCAGCTCTGTTCCCCGCCCCCAGTTGGAAGTCTAGGAGGGGAGGATTTGTGTTTGCCCGCTTCTAGAGCTGCTCAGTCTTCTTGCAAAAGACATCATTAGATTAAAGTCAGCTCTTCCCTCCTCTGTAAACCAAACCAAACAAAGCCATTTGGACCTGATGTTCAGAAATTCTCCCTTCTGCAGTATTAATCCATGAAAAGAAAGGAAAAAGGGAAAGACTCATTCCTTGGACGAGCCTTGATTTTCCATTTTTAAATGGTATTATTTCAAATGCTGAAAGGGCAGAGTGAAACTATGGCACTCCAGAAGGAATTTCCCTGAGAATGGCCCTGGTTCAGAGGGTCCCCCGGCTCACACACTGCTGTCCGACAACTCCGTGGCATGGCTGTTGAGGCAATGGCAGGATGAGAAGAAACACCCAGGCTCTCAGGGTCTAGTCCAGCTCTTCTGGGTACTCCAGTCCCCAAACCTTTAGTGAGTGCTTGCCCTACTCCAGACACACATTAGGGGCTAAGCGTGCACACTGAAAGATCCTCAACGTGTTGTTGTGTGTCTTTCAGAAGCAAAAACTATGTAAGTTACATATCGTAATTAGGATGGTTATAAGTAAGAGAAGGATAAGGAGGAGAGAAGTGAAGGTCGCTGAGGATGTGGAGCAAAGGGAACCCTTGTGCACCGTTGGTGCGAATGTTAAGTGGTGCAGCCGGTGTGGAAAGCAATATGGCGGTTCCTCAAACAAAAGAAAAATACAATTGCCGTATGATCTAGCAATTCCATTTCTGAGTATATTCTCAAAAGAATTTTTTTTAATACCCCAAAGAATTAAAAACAGGGTCTCAAAGAGGTATTTGTACATCTATATTCATAACAGCATTATCCACAATAGCCAAAAGGTGGAAACAACACAATGGTCCATCAGTGGCTGAGTGGACAAGCAAAGTGTGATCTATCCACACAGTGGAATACTATTCAGCCTTAAAAGGGAAGGAAATTCTGACGTGTGCTACAAACATGGCTGTACCTGGAAGACATTATGGTAAGTGACATAAGCCAGTCAGAAAAGGACAAATACTATGCAATCCCACTTACATAAGCTACCTGGAATAGTCAGATCCATACGGACAGAAATTAGAATGGTGGCTGCTAGGGGCAGATCAGAGGGAGGAATGCGGAGTCATTGTTTCAGGCATACAGACTTTCAGTTTTGCAAGATGAAAAGAGTTCTAGAGATGGATGGCGGGAATGGCTGCACCAAATGTGAACGTACCAAATGCCACTGAACCGTACGTTTAAAAATGGCTAAGATTGGGGCGCCTGGGTGGCTCAGTTGGTTGGGCGACTGCCTTCGGCTCAGGTCATGATCCTGGAGTCCCTGGATCGAGTCCCGCATCGGGCTCCCTGCTCGGCAGGGAGTCTGCTTCTCCCTCTGACCCTCCCCCCTCTCATGTGCTCGCTGTCTCTCTCTCATTCTCTCTGTCTCAAATAAATAAATAAAATCTTTAAAAAAAAATAAAAATAAATAAAAATGGCTAAGATTGATAAATGTTATCTTATATGCATTTCACGACAATAAAATATAAAATAAAATAAATAAAATAAAAATCCCCAAAGCAGTCGTGCACAATGGGTTTTTTTTTTTTTTCACCTCATTCTCCAGGTGAGGAAAGGAAGAGAAGTTAAGTAGGTTCCGAGGGCTACACAGCTGGGTTTGAAAGCAGAACGGACTCTCAAAGAAGGCCATGCTGCCCCCCTCCACCGAGCTGTCTGGTACCTGCCGGGGGGCCAAGGATGCCCCACGTATGCAGAAGCCACACGGATTCATCTCCTCTCTGTGCCCTTTTCTTTCTCTAGGCGACCCTTCCTCTAACATTGCCTTTCGTAGTGTTCTTTTCCTCTCCTCTGCCTTCCCCTCATCAAAAGGTGCTCTCGGGAAGAAAAAACCTGAGCACTCGTTTATACCTAAGGTACGTGGTGTGAATTTAAATCAGTATGCCACCTCTCTGAGGGGTGCTTGCATTTTAAGCCTCATCACCCTCTATGAAATGAAAACCTTTGTTCCATATTAAAGGAATTTCAGGCATCAGGGAGCAGGCGGGGAGAATCTGGAGGGTGGTGTTGGCAGGCAGCGCAACCCGAACCCAAAGAAGGGCATTCAACGGTGGAAACTTTAGGCACACAGTTAGAAGGGAGATCTACTCTGTGGGCAGACTGATCTTTCAGGGCTCCACCAAGATGTGAGGTGTGGATGCGAGGGAGTTAGGTGGACACTTCATGTTAAACCCTCCCCTTCGAGCAGACTTGGTTGCCTGACTGCCAGACCCTAGTCTTGCTTGGCCTCAGAACTGTGCACATCCTCAAGAGAATCTAGAGGGTTGATTTCCTCAGGGCATCATTGGCCTGACAGTTCTCAGTGCCTCTTGTTATAGCATGAAATTCT